TTAACCACGGAAATACTAATCGGTCGTTTGGTGTCATCTGTTAACCACCAACGGGAGAATCGAGTTAATTTACGTTTAAATGGATGGAGAACGGACCCGATAAGTGTCGCCCATAACAATGGCGATAGAAAAGGCTGAAGGACAAGGTAAACAGCGGCGACCGATGAGAGCACAAACAAAATGAATAGAATCGCAATCGTATTGTAAAAAGCTTGTTTCAAGGCCTTTTCGTTTCCTTCCGTGATCAAATTGAAAACATCGTTAAAAGGTGATATGAGTCGGGAAACACCAGGACCTCCAACAGTTCTGACCATTGTTTAAACGGTTCTAATAACCTAATTGAATAACTAATGTTAATTAACTATTGAGAAGACACTTAGTAAATCATGTTACCTGTTAGAAAAGAAAACACAATAAAACTAATCAGAAATGTTACTCTAAATCGAATAAGTTGAAAATAAATAATTACTCACCTTAGAAACAGTTTGAGGTTAATTGAGAATCAATTACAACATTAATTGTCAAAATTAACTAAAAATAGATTCATAGTGAGTTATTATTAACACAGATACAGATTGAGATGAGATTCCGTTGGCAATTAAACTGTTTCGTATTGATGATTTAGGATTTTTATTTATTGTAAACATTACATCAATTAACTGCAAACTTAATCTGGTGATACAATTAATCAAGTTCTAAATCTATCACCAGATATTATCTAATTTTATCTAATTAATAGAAATAGAAACAAGAAGCTTTTAATTTTCATGTTTTCTTTTCAAATCGAAATCACCTGAAGACAAAAAAGGAGAAAAAAAATTTTACCGCGAATTTTAATTGAAACGAGAAAAGAAAACTAATCAAACAATTTAAGTTAATTTCTCTAATTATCAAGTCAACAATTAAACTATTATTCTCTGATTTATGATACAGAACAAAAGTTGTAACTTTCAATTGAAAAAGTATCAATTTCTTTTAAAATATTCATAATGTTTACTTTTAATTAGAAACACTCGGTATCCTGATTGTTGGGATAATTCAAGTTTTCTCATTGATTAATTTGGTAATTTGTTAATTTACTGGCACACACAATGGTCAATATTTTACAAATTGTTCCAGTTAATTGTTTGTTGCCATGAATTTGAAACAATTGGCTAAAGTTTACCTGCAACAATTATCTTCAAATGAGAAAAGTGATCAAGTGGAAAATGATTCTGATCAAATGGAAGATAAATTTTCAATTCCTTCCGAGTTGATCAATTTAATTGCTGAAGATAGAAGTGATTTAGATCAACAGATGATTAGTGCCGATCAATCTTCCATTGGAAATGATAATCGTTTTATTAAGCAACTTTTTCTTTTTTGGTTACTCTCAACTACCATTTTGATCATCATTTGGTATGGAATCAATTTAATCAAAGATGAAAGTGAATATCGTAATCAATTACAATCAACTTCCAATGGATGGAGAGCAACTTTAACTCATGTGATTAGGAAAATAGTGAAAAAAGATGGAACCAAAAGAGGAGAAAATATTGGAATCATTGAGGATGATCAAAGTGATGTAGAAGAGGAGCTTTTGTTTGATAGAAGAAAATTGAAGAAACTGGTGAGTCAAAAAAAATGATTCTTTTTGACTAATTGTCATCATAATTGTATAAAAAAATGACGAAATAATCTCCAGGGTGAGAAAATATTTTCGTAATTCAAATTAAAACTTACACGTGGAAAAATATATAGATATATATTTGTATTTAAATTTGATGAACTTTTTATCATGATGATTAACTCATTTTCGTGTGAAAAAAAGTTTAATTTCCACAAATTTGACAAAATTCTTATACAGCATAACCATAAGAAGCTACAATATCGTTTAGAGGTTTCAACTTAGCGGCTAACATTTCTTTAGCCTGTGTACGTATTTTGGCTTCAGCCTTAACTTTCTTGTATCTGACTAAAGAACGTGCTTTTCGTCGGGCTTCAAGAGTCTCAACGAGTCCTTGATATTTCCATCCAACTTCATGTGATAATCTACCGAGGGCACAGAACTGTAGAGATAAGGAAAGAGAAGAAAAGAAAACGTGTCAGAAAGCAAACAAAAATATAGAAAATTTTGATGACAAAGAAATATGAAATCAGGTTTTAAATTTGATATCACTGTTCATCTAATGTAGATAAGGTTAATATTGAGTCATCATTTTAAAGAGAGAAAAATATTTCAACGATTATTTGAACTTACCTTTCGACCTGAAGCTAGCCTTAAAACTCTCAACGCTGATGGAACAACCATTTTTTTCTGTTTGTCAAAAGGTGGAGGGCAACCTTCATGTGCTTTAAGCTTTAATAAAGCATTATAACCTCGCTTAGTTTTATGAGGTAGCATACCTCGGACAGTTCGCCATCCAGAAGATTTTACTAGGGGCCCGGAAATGGAAAGGTCCACGTTTTGGGTTGACATTACACCTTTTACGGAGGAAAGATAAATATTTTACTAAAATAAAGAGAAGAGAAAAGAAAAGTTAGAAAAATATATACCATAAATAATCGGATCAAAGTTAGAAGCAAAAGAAAAATAGGATCGACAGCACAAATACTCACATTTATTTCGGTAAAATGAACCGGAAATGTTAATAGCTTCACATCTAACAACAGTGACTTTTTGACCTGCAAAGAAGGAAAAAAAAATAGAAGAGAAAATTCATTAGAAATCGAACAAAAAAATTCTTCTCCAAATGTTTAAGATACAGTTTCAGATGGTAGTGCATGGTTCTTGAACAGGTCTAATCAGGGTTGATCAGTGTTTTGGGAATTTCTCATCATAGTAATAATAATATTGAAACACTAAAAAACAATTAAAACAAATTAAAAACATACCTTGTAAAAGTGATTTAGCTACAACAGCGGCAAGTCTACCCAATAGGTGACCCTTACCATCAATAAGAAGAGGCTAAGGAAATCAAACACAGAAGAGAAAACCAAATCATATTAATTTAAAATCTCATCAAGACACACAATTAGTTGATCTAAATTACCTTTTCTTTGAATCCAGGCATTGTAATTACACACAATTAAATTAATCAAAATAAGAAAAAAACACCAACTAAAGAATGTGCCTGATCACAATTCCAAGTGAAAGAAGGAAACGGAAACATACAAATGAGAAAACCGAATTGAGGGAAAATCTTCTAAGTGCGAATTGTAAAAGAGAAAAGAAAAAAAATTTTCTTTTCCATTTTCTCATTAACTCGACTCTTTATTATTTTTATCTTCTCTTTATAAACTTTTTCCTTTTCTAATTAACAAACTAAACAATTAATTTATTCTTCTTTTTTATTTTCTAACAACTAATTAATTAGAATTTATCTGTAACCTGATCTTTAATTTATTCTCAACATAGTGACCATTAAGTTTCTATTTTTGTTTCTCTCTGTAAAAACTTAACCCTTGACAACAGAAAATATGATCTTCTGGGTTTGATGAACTTATTGTTTTCATCAAATGTTTATCATTAAAACAAATCAATTTTTAACAGTCGATTAATTACATTGAACTATTTGTTGACAAGTTTAAAGTGATCATAATTTTGACAGACAATTTGGTGACAGTTGATGGTCATTATTTGGTTTTTTTTCGTCTCCCATTTCCAAATTGTGATCTGGTTTCTATCACTTTCTTTGGCTCTCATCTTGGATATGGATTCAATAAGCTAATACATTTAAAGACAATCATGTGTTAAATTGATTACCCTATGTGAGTGATTTAATTAATTTCTCCAAGTTTAAAATTTCCATCTCAATGATATCTTAATTTGGATCATTGGCAAATTGATCGGCAATAATTTTTTCTCCATCCCAATGGTTACAGTGAATTTAATGCGTATCAATTTTCCAAGTGATTTAAACCCAGTTAATTGATCAAATTTTAACCATATTTGATTTGCTTCAATCTATTGTTTTAACAAGAAAAAGGCATTAATGGTGAGCGATTAAAAGCATTTCCAATCATGTTCATGTTGGCAAAAAGAAATCAGTTTTACCGCCAAACTCAATGATTCCTCTTTTCTTCCTGTTCAATCATATGTTTGAATCAGAAGAAAATATTTCTACAAGTCAAAATATTTACCTTCATTTTCCTGTTATTGATATACTTTAATGAATATTGATCTCTATTGGAATGTTTAATTTAATTAATCCCATTTTTTGAGTGTTCATTTTCTTGGTTATCATTTATCACCAATCAATTTAATCCATAAATCATGGTTTTCGCTTTTGGATTGTAAAAATTTGCCCTTTGTAAGCTTCTTAAATCTAATATTTCACTTGACTTGGTTTCTTTTCATGTCGTTGTCATTTCTTCCTTTTTTGTTTGTGTTGTTTTTTATCGCCAAATCAAAAGCGATCAATTGTTATCAACTGTGTTTGATTTTTAATTTTTTGCTTCTTTTTGCCCTCTTTCCAGTTATTCCATCATCACCATTTTCTCGCTTCTCTTTGCTTGTTGATTCCATTGAGACCAAGCTATGGATCAAATAAAGTCTTCTATTCAAAATGGTCCACCACCTCATGAGAATTTACCTCCACCTCTGCTATTAATTAATAATCAAAATTCTGTTGACGTTATTGAGACGAAAAAACAATCATCGGGTATGTTTTTTATTCATTTTAAGGCTTAATCAATTGATAATCTTTAAATCAGTTTATCTGGTTTGTCAAATTTACATACAAGCAAAGTGAAAATATTTTCCTATTTCTTTCCCTATTCTTTCCATTGTTTATTATTATTTTTAAACTAATTGAATTTTCTATCCTGCTCTCTTTCTCTTTAGATGAAATTCTAGAACCAGAAATTGACGATGTTGCTCCGTCTGAACCCCCTGCTCGTGGACTTGAATTAATGTACAAAGTAGCTGAAGAACTTGCCACTCGAATCGCTGACGAGAAAAGATATGAAGGAATAATCAAGCCATGTTCTGTTAGAATATTAAGAATCTCCGATGTATCTAAATATAGAGTGATTAGAGATCCAGAAATGATTAAGCAAGAAAAGATGACCGATGAAGAATCTAATAACCATCATGAAGATATGCAAATAGACTGTTATGACTCTTCAGATGATGAAGAGGAAATGATTGTACCACCGGCAGAAAAAGACTTGGAAAAAAGTAGTCAATTGAATGAAGAAACGGTAACCTTCTTCCTAAAAAATTCTTACACCTCAATTGTACCTTAAAATTTTCGTCTAATTAATTGAATCCTTTTGTCTTGGATTTTTTTTCCTTTTTCTTTCTAATTTCTATTAGATTTCATTCTTCTGTATATTCTGCCATGAGAAAAACATCCAAGGAAAATCGAGTGCATTTGATCATTACCAGTCTCACATGGATTATTATCCATTCAAATGTACTCAATGTTTGGAAGTGACAACTAATTTAAAAAATTTATTTATCCATTATCGAAAAGATCATAGTGAAGAAAAGACTGCTACGTTTAAGAAAAGATTAATGCCTTGGATTACCGAATGGATTGATGATTTTCTGAAATCTCAAGTATCCACAAGTCGTGGTAGATTTGCCCAACCTCGGCCCTATTGTCCAGTCTGCGAGTCAAGTGAAAAAAAGGAAGATATCATCTTGTTACCACCTAATTTAATTCAACCCCGGAAACATTTAATGCATGTATACAAACACCTTTGTTATGAACCCTACGTTTGCGGGATATGTCAGAAAGCAGGGAAAAAGTTTACCATCACTGATTTTGATGATCGAGCTTATGAACATATATTGAAAAATCATCCTGAAGCTGAAAATGAATTGCTGGCCAAAGTTTTCCTTAAATCAAGGTACATTAAACCTCTGGAAGGTTATATTATACATTATTTAACATCAGCTGGAGTTTCAACTAAACGTCGAGTACCTGAAAAGATTCCCAATTTTGCTAGAAATAAATTTAAAGCCAAACACGAGAGCAAAGAGAAACAAAATACAGATAAAGACAATAATCGATCTACTACATTGGGTGATCTTTTTAATCAATCATCATCCAGTTTAAATAATCAATCTGATACCAGTTTTCAGGTAATTGGTCAAAAATCTGATAACCTAACTAATCTAACTAATCAAACCAAAGCCAATCCAAATGTTACTGCAACACCTCATCAAATGAGTAAAACACCTCCAATTATTCACAAACCTGCCACAATGTTGACCACATCTAATAGTTTGTTACTCTCACCTTCAAAAGGACCTTTTCCACAATTTACAACTCTTGGAATTAATAATTTACCTATTTCAAACTGTTATACAGTTTCCAAAATCAGCATTTTACCCAAAAATGGAGTCAATTCAACGCAACCCATTTACCTTCCTAGTTATCAACAACCAAATGTTATTCAACTACCTTGTGGTCAATTAATGGTCCGAAATAATAATAATCCACCATCTACTCCCGTTCTCGTTCCTACTTGTACATCGACTACTACTGCTACTACTTCGACTATTATTCCAACTCAGAACAAACTTTTTCATCAATCAAACGGGATTGTTTCTTTACTTGCAAGTCCTCCGTCGATTCTGAGACGACCATCAATATCTCCACCAAAACAAGATTCTCTTAATCAAAATGGACCATTTCAGATTCAAGTTTCTCCTGATATTGGAAGCTTTATTGGAAATGATATTCAAAATAAACTTAAGGTATTCATATCGTTTTCTTTGTTCGATTTAAATTCTTACTTCAATTGCTCTATTCTCTGTTTTAATGATACATTTCTTCTCTATTTTTGCCTTTAATCTCATAGAAAAATGACGAATTTGAAAAAAGAAGATATTTCTGTATGTTCTGTAAAGAAATGATCCAATTCGATTCATTCAATGATGGTCTAATTCATTTGTGTAAACATCTCGATTACAAGCCTGTTAATTGTTTACTCTGTGGTGATAAATTTGAAGACTTGGACACAATCATGGAACATTTTCTCAAATGTCATTCTCATGATAAAGTTTGTCAAGATAGTAATGAATGTGAACCTTTGCTCTACTTTATCAATCGAGATGGACAAACAGAAAAATGGGTTGAACAATTTTTCCAATTCCAAGTTTCTGGTGAATTTGATAGAATAGTGAATGTTGATTGTGCAGCATATTGTTGCATCTGTAAAGAAATGCAAAGAATTCTATATAAACGTATTCCAAGTCGACTAACGCGAAATTATCAAACAACATTATCACCTCCAGTTGAAGTAGTTCGTCAACATCTTAATCTTCACATCAACTATCGTCCATATGAATGTTATTTATGTTGCAAAGCTGGTAACCAGGTTAGATTTGCTTCTGTTGGAGATACTGCTCTTAAACACTTGAAAACCCATGGATTTTCACCAATCGATTCTGCTTTTCTCAAAGAATTTTTCCACCACAAACCAATACTAGAATTGGAAAATTTTGTCAAAAATTATCTAATTACAGAATTTTATCCCTACTCAAATACCATTGGATATGGAAATAGGACTCAAACCAGTAAACAACCAACATCTTTCACATTAAATGGTTTTCAAAATCAAAAAAATTATTCAAGATCACCGGATGACATTGTATCTAAGGGTCTCTTCAACAACAATACTAATGGATCAATTTCACCTCTTTTACCACCACAACCACAACCACAACCACAACCATCACCTCAACTTTATGATCTTAAAAGATTTGCTGGAGCATCTTATGCCTGTTATCATTGTAAACTAACCATTATCGGAATTCAGGAACTTGTCACACATTGTAAAACAATTCATCCCAATCTTTCAATTTCATCTTATTGTTTAAACAATTTAAATGGTTCAGAATAATTGGTTTACTCATGTTTCCATAATCTAAACAGTGAAATCAACTTTATCATCTTATATTAATGAACACACGAGTATTATTAGTTTAGGTTATGAAAGTAAAACAAACTTTTCATTTAAGATTTTTAAGATATGATCAAACATCTAATGAGAATCTAAATCATACAAAGTGCCTCAAAAACATCACACAAACTCACCTACTAATCTGTTAACAGTTTAATTTTCTCATCTATTTAAATTCACCTCAATTCATTTCTTATCTGTTTGGAGCCTGATAATAAGATGGAAGCTTAATCATCAACAAATCCACTAAAAGGAAATCGATTGTTTCTTTCCAGATAATTGAAAGAAAACAAATGAATGATAAAAAACTAATCAACATTTTCTAAGCAAAAAACTTCAATTCCCTTCACCATTCATTTTAATTTCTGACATTCGGACTCCTGCAACATGACTACAGATTATCATTGCTACTTAAAGACAAACTAATTCCTCACTTCTATTAATATTTATAATTCTTGTAAATGATGTACATTTATACTTGTATTAACAAAGTTGTTTTCCTAATTGATTACAGTCATACCTCTCTTAATTTTATTGTTTTAAGCCATTACAGCAAGCCTCCGAAGGCTTTACTATCTGAAAAGATAGTATCAAGAGTGAGTACAACTCTTTGAGGGAAGTGGGGATGAGGAGATTTAAATTCAAAGGAATATAATAACAATAGATTATTAATATTTATAATAAAGTAACAAAATTATTTGTTTAGTATGTCAATTAAAATTTAACATATTCCTCGGAGGCTTGCTGAAAACGGTCCGTAACAAATGAGTATTAATCAGTAAGTCTTGAATCCAAGTGTTCCTCATCGGCCAGTTCAAAATACAGTATAAGAGAAAAAGAGAAGATTATTATTATTATTAATTTGTGTTAAGCATTAAGACAGCACGAAAGGGTGATCACAGAGATTGTGTAAATGAGAAATGTAATAAACCGGAAGTGTATGTCAGTATAGTGTATGGCTTACGCCCCGAAAAATAATAATAAAGAAAGCTGAAAGAGTTCAGTTTTTTTTTTTTTTTTACCTACGATTTTGGTATCAACTTGGTCCGTATGATAAGATGAACAATAATAACACAAAATTTAATTTTAAATTCACAGGTAAAGTTAATTAAATTAAAGTTTATCAGGAGCCAAAATCTTAAGTTATAACTCTCTTAAGTTACAAAACAGAGCCATCTCTTGTCGAAAGAGGAGCAACTCGTAGCATAAATAGAATTAAAATTTTTAATTTAATTCTAAATTCGACTGCTGCCACCTAGCGAATTTGTGACTCGTCCTTATAACTTAAGAGAGGTAAGACTGTATCTTAATTACGAGGAAACATAACAATTGACTATATAACATTATCGCTTAGAAATATCAATATTTTTATTGATAATGATTATAAGAAAAAAAATGTTTGAAAGGTTAAGAACCAAATCAAATAATCTCGTCAACAATCAAAGGACAAAAATGAAAATCTAATTTTGGATTATTTTAATTTCTAAAATTTAAATTTCTCTCAATTCGAAATAACCGCTTCTCGGTTACCATAGAAACATTTAGATCTCAAGGAACAGCCTATTCGACCAGAAATCTCTGGTCATATAGTCCCCGAGCCTAAATAACCAGAGAGAAAAGTATAATCCGTTTTCAACTCTAATTAGTGAATTCTTATTTAATTAATGAAAAGTGATCAATTAAATAGTAAAAAAAGAAATACTAGTGAAAAAATTAACAATTGTTTCAGAGAATTCAGTTTTCTTTTTCATGTGAAAATATCTCATGTGGTATCAGTTCTTCTGGATTTTGATCTCAAAATTTGCCTTTAACTGAATTAACATTGGATTCAATTCATTAAGACTTGATCCCATTTCTGGCTATTTAGGCTTAACCAGATCTCAACACGTGAAAATATTAACAACCGATTCTCATGTTTGGTTAATTCATTTAAGAATAATTTTAATTTTTAGTTCGATCAATTTACTTATGTGATTAGTTAATTATTCCAACTGTTTGCTTATCTTATCTAGAATTTGATTGTTTATTCAAGTTTATTGGATTGGTAAGAATTAATTTCTTTCTGAATCTCTTTTTACCTTGTTGACCAAAAATCACTTTTACATGTTAATCTTTTTATTTAATTTATTTTATTTTCTTTGATTCTTTTTTTTTATTTTGAAGGTTATTTATTTTTAATTATGAAAAATAAGGTTCGAGTTGCTGCTAAGGCAACTAAAGGCAGAGGTAATCGATGGAGAAAAGGTGAAAGTAGTAATTGTAATGCTGCCACTAAAAAGTTCCGTCAAAGAGTAAATTTGATGGGCCCTATTTCAAAGAGTTCATCTAATCTTGATGATTTTGAAAATCTGCGACTTAGTTCAATCAATTTAAGTGCCCATTCTTTAGGTGGAGGTGATGAAACTGCTCGTGAAATAAAATCTGTATCAATGGACGTTGACCAGGAATCAATGGGCAGTTGTAATACATTTGCATCCATTTATACCAATTGTACTAATGTCAGTTTCTCTAAACTTTTGGAGAAATGGAATCCATCATCAGTGTTACACAAAGAAATGATTGCTATTCTAGCAACCATAACAGAAACAATCAAGGAAAAGGGTGGAACAGAAAGTGAAACTGAATATTTTGCCATTTTAATCACTTTACTTGAAACCACCGATAAAGATGAAACTTTAGCAGCAATCGCCTATTTATTGGGCATGGTGGTTAGACGACTTCCTGATTCAGTAAAGAAGCTTAAATTCAGTGAGATGAGTCAAATTTTCGCTGCGAAAATAGTTGCCAATCGTGAGAAAACCAATGGCTACCTAATGATAAATCTAATTCGTTGTCTAAGTGAATTCATCAAAAGCCAAGAAGTGGTTGTATTGAAATCTCCTGCAACATTTGCTGTCTACAAAGTGCTTCTTGATTTAACCCTTGACCCAAAGCCAAAGATTCGTAAATCAGCTCATCGATCCATCGTTAATATACTGAAAACAAGTAAACTTGTCTACGAAAATGCTGAACATCATGCATTAGCTGAACAAACGGCCAAATTTTGTGTCGACAAATTTTTATCCACAAGCGTGAATAACATTAATGACGCTTTACATATGCTTAATTTGATGAGAGATATAATCACCATCATCCCATCAAAAGCACTCAAGGTTTGTTGCGAAGCCGTGACAAGAGTAACAACAATTTCCCATGCTAATCCTTTACTGGTAAATGGTGGACTTTCAGTTTTCCTTCAACTATTTAATTCATCATCACCACTTCGTGGATTAACATCACAATTTAACTATATTCTTCTAAATCGTCTCAAAGATAATCGTCCAAGTTATACTGATTCTCAATTACTACCACTTTGGGTTGCCGTTATGAAGGAAGGTTACATTAGCCTCTATTCACTTGATAAATCAAAATGTCTCATTGAAATTTCATCACTATTAAGTTCACTTTTACCCTGTTTTGAAAGTGAATCAAAAATTGTTCACATTACTGTTACAACCTCGATTCAACAAGTTATCCAAACAATTATTGCCCCTTCTCTAAGTGAATTGAATTACACCGTTCGAGCAACAATGGCCGATATTTTCGAGGACAGTTTACAATTTAAGTATCAAAATGCTTGGGGATTCATTTGTAGTATTATTGGAACTCTAATTGAACATGTTGGCTCTCAAGCTCCTGATTTGGTTTCTCGTTTTATCAAGAAACTAATTGACCTTCGTGAAGGATATAATACCAAATTTTTACCCCAAATTGACATAGCAATTAGTAAAGCGATTAAAAATCTTGGGCCCAAAATTATACTTGACATTGTTCCCCTTGAGATGGATCTTAGTGATACTAATCAATTTACTCACAGTTGGTTAATACCCTTGTTCCGAGATAACATTGAGAAAACCGAGTTACGAACATTTAAAACTTTCTTCCTTCCATTGGCCAAAAGAATCGAGATTAAAATATCAACATTGGATAAAGTAAAACAATCAATTTACATAAAACTTTATTCAACTTTACACAATCAGATTTGGTCTTTGTTACCATCTTTCTGTCGACATGCGACCGATATTAAGACGGCATTTACTAAAGATTTTGCTTCTTTATTGAGAAATGTTATCAGAGAGAATACAGTTCTAAGAGGTTACTGTTTGGCTGGTCTTCGTAACCTCATCAAAACTGTATCATCGGAAGAAGATAAAACAATTTTAAAATACTTTGCTAAAGGTTATCTTCAAGATTTCATCACGATTTACATTAATCCCGAAACCAGTGGATCTGGAAAGAAGGACGTTCTCCCAACGTATGAGACTCTACGAGTTTATCTAACGATTGCTGATGATGAAGTTCGTGAGAAAAGTTTGGAAACTGTTATGAAAAACTTGCGAAACTTTGACGGAGATGTTGCACTTCGTAATTACCTGTTGGATATTCTATTATTATATATTCCATTTTTTACAACAAAGCAAATTAAGCTTATCTATGGAGAAATAATTCTTCCCGTTATTCAAAAATCGGATGAAAATTCTCATCTGAAAAAGATTTACAAGATAATCCAAGAGATTTGCTGTAATCCCAATTGCAAGGAGTTTATTTTATCCCTTAAAGTTAATATTATTGATCTTTTCGTTGGACTATTTAACTCAAGCCCTGATCAAGTTAAATATTTACCTGTTAATTCACTAGACATTTTGTGTCAAAAGGAGATAATTCAATTGGAAAAGAAACATATCCCCATCATGTTGAGATTAATTATCGACTCAGTTGAAACTGGAAGAGAAAAGTGTAAAAAGACAGCCTTTGTTTTCCTTACTAATCTTCCAAAATACCTGAACAATAATACTACTTTTATCCAGCAAACTCTAATCAATCAGGTGACACTTCATAGTCCAGAATTAAGATCAGCAGAGATCCTGGTTCTTGGACATGGTATTTTCGACCTCGAGCAAGAACAATTAACCAATGAAGTTCGTGGTAAATTATTCCAATTGCTTGATCTTTTAAAATCTGAAGATCGGTCTATCGTTCGAGCTGTTTTCCAAACAATCAATTTATGGATTAAAAAGACTGACAAAGAGGAGCTTGGTCATGTTGCTTATAACATCGTCATGGCGCTGAATAATGTGAGTGTGGATCAACGAAAATCTTTCAGACACGAAGTGAAAGTTTTGCTCACCAAACTGATTCGTAAATTTGGCTACGAAATGTTGTCTAAATTAATTCCACCATTTTGCGAAAAAGTTTTGCGAAACATACGAAAATCAGAAGCTCGAAAGGCCCTTTCGAAAAATGAAACCTCTGGTGATATTTTCGATGATCTAGCAAGTGGAACCATTGCAACTTCTACTACTCATCGATCAACCAAATCGATGACTGATATTTTGAATGAAGATTCTGATTCAGATGATAGTTTACTTGACGAAGATGATGAGGATGACAAGAAAAGTCGAGCATCAACTAGAAAATCACGAAAAGCTCGATCCGAGACATTTATCGAAGAAAGAGGGGACGAAGAAGAAATTGTCGATCTATTGGCTCCAAATATCAACAGTCGAATCCATTCATCGAATCCACTAAAATCAGTTGCCCCGAAACCCAAAAAGAAGGACGAATATCATATGACAGCTGATGGTAAGATTTCGTTCAATTTCAAAGAGATGGAAAGAGGAACCAAAAGGAAACGAGGAGATGAAGAAAATAACAGGAGCGACGAAGATGATGAAGACGATGACGACATGGATGAAAGAGCTACAAAAACCAACGTTTCTCGAACCTCAAAAACTTCAAGAACTTCGAAAATATCTAAAGTATCAGCGACAACCTCACATGGTACAAAAGCGAGCTACAAACCTGGAGGTCAAGGTATTCATAGACCTGTTAAGAAACGAAAAACAGGAATCAAAGGAGCCAAAACAGGAGAAGAGTTTTCATCGCGAAAAGCGGGAGGTGATGTTAAAAAGAAGGGTTCAGTTGACCCATTCGCTTATGTACCATTGAATGGTGCTCTTCTTAATCGTCGAAAGAAAAACAAGTTCAAAGGTTACTTCAATAAATTAATAACAACCAAAAGTAAACCAGGTAAACGACAAAAATAAATCCTTCACAAAGTTTAAATATTCTGGAAAAATAAAAACAAGTCAACTAATTGTTAACACAATTTAATAAATTGTATTTCTGTGCAAAAATGAATTTATTGCTTTAATTATGCATCAATATCAATACACTAAATATGTTTTCTCATTGATTGCTGATTTGTTGCCATCTAAATCAATATACCAAATTTTAACCTTGTAACGTTCACCAACGATCAAGTGTAAAGGTAAAGTGTTACCAATTTCAGGATAAACTGTCGCATGAATAACGGGATGTAGATCGTTGATACTTGTGACCTAAAGACAACGAAGATGAAAAAGAAGTTAATTGACAATCAATTAATGAAATTTTCTACATTAGAATGATTTTTACCCTATCAACTTGTACGAAATAATTTGCCACTTTGTTTCCTTCTAGTCTAATAATTAGCTCTCTGGTTACAAAGTTTTTAGGTGCCAATGGATGTAAGGTCACTTCGATATCCTTTTCGAATGCGGCTAAAAAGTATTCCGATGTACCATTCCTATTACCATAAATCGCGATAATGTTGAATATATATTGTCCATTTGGCTCGAGATCTTTGATCTCAACGTCATAACGATAACCAGTACTCGAAGGACGATAAGACTCTGTTCAGATGCAATCGACAATTAGAACTAAATTTCTTAGCAAATTGATCTAATTTCTTACCTGTTTTCGGTTGAGCCTGACCATCAACACCGACCAGTTGATAAGTTATATCGAACCTTTGAATATAATCATCGAGAACTGCAAGAGGAGCATAAATGGTGAAAATTACATTAGTATCACCAGCGGAAATCTCAGAGATTGAAATTGATTCATTAAATTGTTTCAACTCATCACAGGAAATCAAACTTGTGATTGTTAATAGAGTTATTAACGAAATTGACCAAATACAATTAAGAACCATGTTAACTTACTGAAAGAATTGACTGATTTGATTGACTTTTAAATGTCATTACAAGAACAATTTATTACACGTATCTAGTTGATTGAATATCTCTATTAATGGTTATCTAATCTAATAACAAACAATAGCTGATTAATTGTGAGATTAAAACATAAAATCAACTACTTTACATATGCAATGTAAAAATGATCGAGTCTAACATGTTATGAAAAGGATTTTCAACCTGATTATCAATAGTTGATTCGGTAATCAGTTGCGTGGAGACAATTGCTTCCATAATTAAGAATTCAAATTGATCAGATCTTTGGATAAGAAATAGTTTATCTCATAATTAAAATAAAAATGACAAATAAATTCACATAAATGCATCAAAATCAAATCAAAGGTAATTGGAAACATTTTAATATTAATTTTTTATTACAATCAAATCTCAAGGATATGAATCCATGTGTTATCAAAACTTAAAATATTGAGTTAACTTATTAACCATTTCATCAGGAATAATATTAACAAACTAAATCAAGTTAAACGTGGATATTAATTAATGTACAGAAACGGAAATTGTGAAAATTTATCCTTTTGAAAGAATGAGTCTTAATCTTTTCAATTGTGTTTTAATTATATCAACAATTAACTTCTCATCTGGTTGCGGTAAGACATTTGTTTCTATTATTTAGAACTAAACAATTTTCAATTAATACGAACTTTTACCTTTCAGAGTGTGGCCTTGAAGGTTCAATCAGCCGAATCTACAGAGGTCAAAAGACTCGACCCCATAAATATCCTTGGTTAGCACAAATTCAGTAAGATGGAATAAGGAATCTATTTTTTTTTTAATCACTGTCATTATTATAATGAATACTAAAAATTCATTTGCTTCTCAGTTCATATGAAAATCGTGATGATGATGAATTTCATTTTTGCGGTGGCTCATTGATTGATGACCAACACGTTATTACTGCAGCTCATTGTTTGAGCAAAACAACATATGGGAAGAAAATTCTGATCCTGTTTGACCCTAAAAACATCCATGTTTATCTTGGTTTATATGCATTCAACACAACAAACACTAGACCAGAATCAGTTTCTAGGATTTGGGTTCACCCAAAATTCAAAGATTTTACTAATTCACACGATATCGCCATCTTAACTCTCTCAAGACCAGTTAAATTTACTGAGAAAATTTTCCCTATATGTTTACCAAACGACGAGCTAGATTTGGATAATCTTGTTATTACAGGGTGGGGATTAACATCGCCAAATGGTAATGTAAGTGAATTTCCACAGGAAGTCGATGTTTCATATTTGACCAGTAAGTTCCATAAGATCCTCTAAATACCATTTATTAATAATTTCTCTGTCTCTTTCTTTCTTTCTCTGTAATCTGATCAGCCAAAGAGTGCCTGAGACAACAGAGTATATTCTTTATGAATGAATTTAATTTGGACCCGATAGTAAGAGAGATAATAAACTTTTCCGCTACTGGAGAAACTCATATTTGTGCCGTAAATCTGAAAACCCAAGGAAGTGTTTGTAAAGGTGATTCTGGAGGTCCTTTGATGCATAAAGACAAAGGAATATACTATCTTGTTGGTATAGCCTGTGCAGTGTGGGAACCATGTGGTCCAAGTATATCATCCACTGGTGTTTACACTCGAACTGATATTTATCGAGATTTTATCAAGAGTATTGCTATAAATTCATGTTGGAAAGATTAAAATATCATTAAATCTTTCCTGGTTGTCGAAAAGATAGATCATGAAATTTTCATTGTTTGTAATTATTTGGATTAAAAGATAAAATCGAAAAGTTTAATTCTAACCAGAACTAATTGTAAATCTGTTACTGAAAATGTATTATTTGCTTCTTATTAATAATATAATAGTTCATATATTAATAGAAATCGTAGTGACGATTACTTTATCTTTGCGGTGGCTCATTGATGTAGATCGTTGATACTTGTGACCTAAAGACAACGAAGATGAAAAAGAAGTTAATTGACAGTCAATTAATGAAATTTTCTACATTAGAATGATTTTTACCCTATCAACTTGTACGAAATAATTTGCCACTTTGTTTCCTTCTAGTCTAATAATTAGCTCTCTGGTTACAAAGTTTTTAGGTGCCAATGGATGTAAGGTCAATTCGATATCCTTTTCGAATGCGGCTAAAAAGTATTCCGATGTACCATTCCTATTACCATAAATCGCGATAATGTTGAATATATATTGTCCATTTGGCTCGAGATCTTTGATCTCAACGTCATAACGATAACCAGTACTCGAAGGGCGATAAGACTCTGTTCAGATGAAATCGACAATTAGAACTAAATTTAATTTGCAAATTAAAGTGATTTAATTTCTTACCTGTTTTCGGTTGAGACTGACCATCAACACCGATCAGTTGATAAGTTATATCGAACCTTTGAATATAATCATCGAGAACTGCAAGAGGAGCATAAATGGTGAAAATTACATTAGTATCACCAGCGGAAATCTCAGAGATTGAAATTGATTCATTAAATTGTTTCAACTCATCACAGGAAATACCACTTGTAATTGTTAATAGAGTGATTAAAGAAATTGACCAAATACAATTAAGAACCATGTTAACTTACTGAAAGAATTGACTGATTTGATTGACTTTTAAATGTCATTACAAGAACAATTTATTATACGTGTCTATTTGATTAATTGTTATCTAATCGAATAACAAACCATAGTTGATTTGTTATGAGATCAACTGATTAAAACAATAAAAGTAAACTTCTTTACATATGCAATGTAATAGTTAAAGTGAAAATGGCAAATACAGAATTAAATGTAGAATTAAATAACTGCATCAAAATCAAATCAAAGGTAATTATTAGAAACATTACAATATTGTAGTATACATGATATTCAATCTGTTCAGTGAAAATTTTCTATTATGATTACAATCGAATCTCAAGGTTAGAAATTTACAAATCCATATGTTATCGAAACTAAAGAAATCGAGTTATTTATTCATTATTTTACCAGGAAAATATTAACAAACTAGATCAATATCAACTTGGTTGTTAACTAATGTGAAGGAACCGAACTTTTGAAAGTTTTTCCTCTTCAAATAATGAGTCTTAATCTTTTCTATTGTGTTTTGATTATATCAACAATTAACTTCTCAATTGGTTGCGGTAAGATACAGGTATATATTTCCATTATTTAGAATTAAATAAATAATCAATCTTTTGTCTTTAAGAGTGTGGTATCGAAGGTTCAATCAGCCGAATCTATAGAGGTCAAAAGACTCGACCCCATAAATATCCTTGGTTAGCACAAATTCTGTAAGATGAAATAAAAAAAATTTTCTTCGTTCTTCATAGCCAATATTTTCCATAACAATTTATTTGTTTTTCAGTTTATACTCAGATCTTATTAATCACTACTATGCTTATTGTGGGGGCTCTTTGATTGATGATCAGCACGTCATCACTGCAGCTCATTGTGTAACCATCTACCAAAAGGAAACGCTCAATAATCCTAATAATATCCATGTTTACCTTGGTTTATATGCATTCAACACAACAAACACTAGACCAGAATCAGTTTCTAGGATTTGGGTTCACCCAAAATTCAAAGATTTTACTAATTCACACGATATCGCCATCTTAACCCTCTCAAAACCCGTAAAATTTACTCAAAAAATTTTACCGATTTGTTTACCGAATACTGAGATAGATTTGGATCATCTTGTTACTGCAGGATGGGGGAGGACATTGCCAAATGGTACAGCAAGTGAATTTCCACAGGAAGTTGATGTTTCATATTTGACCAGTAAGTTCCAATAAGCACATCTAAATACCATTTAATTTCTCTGTCTCTTTCTTTCTTTTTCGGTCTGATCAGCCAAAGAGTGTCAGAGACGACAGAGTATATTCTTCATGAATGAATTTAATTTGGACCCGATAGTAAGAGAGATAATAAACCTTTCCGCTACTGGAGAAACTCATATTTGTGCCGTAAATCTGAAAACCCAAGGAAGTGTTTGTCAAGGTGATTCTGGAGGTCCTTTGATGCATAAAGACAAAGGAATATACTATCTTGTTGGTATAGCCTGTGCAGTGTGGGAACCATGTGGTCCAAGTATATCATCCACTGGTGTTTACACTCGAACTGATATTTATCGAGATTTTATCAAGAGTATTGCTACAAATTCATGTTGGAAAGATTAAAATATCATTAAATCTTAGTTGATTGTTAACCAAAGATCAAATGATTTGAATGATGTTCTAATGTAGTGTTTGTCGTCTTATCGAAAAGAAAATGCGAGAGACTTTGTTTAGCTAACCTTCTGTCTCATTTGTTAGTCGATAAACGAGAATTAGAATAGTATACAGCCATTGACTTTGAGTTTGCAACCACTTTTAATTTACTCGCGACTATAATGATAATCAATGAGAGATTAAGTTAACCCAAAGATAATAATCAATGTCCTCTCATTTAATTGGTGTTATCTTTTCAAATGGTCATCCGATTAGATTTATCTTTCACTAACTATCAGAAACTGCGCGAGTGAATTAAAAGTGGTTGCAAACTAAAAGTCGATGGCTGTATGTAGTATAGTTTGCCACTTTGTTTCCTTCTGGTCTAATAATTAGCTCTCTGGTTACAAAGTTTTTAGGTGCCAATGGATGTAAGGTCAATTCGATATCCTTTTCGAATGCGGCTAAAAAGTATTCCGATGTACCATTCCTACTACCATAAACCTCGATAATGTTGAATATATATTGTCTATTTGGATCAAGATCTTTGATCTCAACGTCATAACGATAACCAGTACTCGAAGGGCGATAAGACTCTGTTCAGATGAAATCGACAATTAGAACTAAATTTAATTTGCAAATTAAAGTGATTTAATTTCTTACCTGTTTTCGGTTGAGACTGACCATCAACACCGATCAGTTGATAAGTTATATCGAACCTTTGAATATAATCATCGAGAACTGCAAGAGTAGCCTAAATGGTGAAAATTACATTAGTATCACCAGCGGAATCTCAGAGATTGAAATTGATTCATTAAATTGTTTCAACTAATCACAGGAAATCAAACTTGTGATTGTTAATAGAGTTATTAACGAAATTGACCAAATACAATTAAGAACCATGTTAACTTACTGAAAGAATTGACTGATTTGATTGACTTTTAAATGTCATTACAAGAACAATTTATTACACGTATCTAGTTGATTGAATATCTCTATTAATGGTTATCTAATCTAATAACAAACAATATTTGATTCGGTAATCAGTTGCGCGGAGACAATTGCGTCCATAATTAAGAATTAAAATTGATCAGATCTTTGGATAAGAAATAGTTTATTTCATAATTAAAATGAAAATGACAAATAAATTCACATAAATGCATCGAAATCAAATCAAAGGTAATTGGAAACATTTTAATAATAATTTTTTATTTCAATCAAATCTCAAGGTTAGAAATTAACAAATCCATATGTTATCGAAACTTTAAAATATTGAGTTAACTTATTAACCATTTCACCAGGAATAATATTAACAAAACTAAATCAAGTTGAACGTGGATTTTAATTGATGTGAAGAAACGGAAATTGTGAAAATTTATCGATTTAAAATGATGAGATTTAATCTTTTCAATTGTGTTTTAATTATATCAACAATTAACTTCTCATCTGGTTGCGGTAAGAAATTTGTTATCATTACTAAAGGGTGTTCAAAATTTTAAATTATCTCTGTATAGATAATGAAAAAATCAAGACTAAATGAAAAATAATCACTAAATTATCGAGCTAGCCAAAGATCATCTCAGATTCTCAGTTCATATGCAAATCGTGGTGATAAAAAATTTTATTTTTGCGGTGGCTCATTGATTGATGACCAACACATTATTACTGCAGCTCAATGTTTGAGCAAAACAACCGACGGGAAGAAAACTTTGACCCTGTTTGATCCTAAAAACATTCATGTTTATCTTGGTTTATATGCATTCAACACGACAAACACTAGACCAGAATCAGTTTCTAGTATTTGGGTTCACCCAAAATTCAACGGGTTTCATCTTTCAAACGATATCGCCATCTTAACTCTCTCAAGACCAGTTAAATTTACTCAGGAAATTTTCCCTATATGTTTACCAAACGATGAAATAGATTTGGATAATCTTGTTATTACAGGGTGGGGAGACACTTCGCCAAAGGGTAATGTAAGTGAATTTCCACAGGAAGTTGATGTTTCATGTTTGACCAGTAAGTTCAATAAGCTCATCGAAATATCATTTATTAATAATTTCTCTGTCTCTTTCTTTCTTTTTCTGTAATCTGGTCAGCCAAAGATTGCCTGAGACAACAAAGTATATTCTTTATGAGTAAATTAAATTTGGACCCGATAATAAGAGAGATAATAGACTATTCCATAATTAGAGAAACTCATATTTGTGCCATCAATATGAGAACCCAGGGAGGTGCTTGTTCAGGTGATTCTGGTGGTCCTTTGATGCATAAGGCCAAAGGCTTATACTATCTTGTTGGTCTTTTCTCTAGCTCATGGGAACCATGTGGTCCAAGTGTAACATCCGCTGGTCTTTACACGCGAATTGATCTCTATCGAGAAATCATCAAGAGTATCGCTCAAAATTCATGTTGGAAAGATTAAAATCTCATTAAATGTTTCCTGATTGTCGAAAAGATAGATCATGAGATTTTCATTGTTTGTATTAATAATTATTTGGATTAAAAGATAAAATCAAAAAGTTTAAAATTCTAACCAGACCTAATTGTAAATCTGTTACTGAAAATGTATTATTTGCTTCTTATTAAAATAATAATTCATAAATTAATAGAAATCGTAGTGACGATTACTTTATCTTTGCGGTGGCTCATTGATGTAGATCGTTGATACTTGTGACCTAAAGACAACGCAGATGAAAAGTTAATTGACAGATCAATTAATGAAATTTTCTACATTAGAATGATTTTACCCTATCAACTTGTACGAAATAATTTGCCTTTGTTTCCTTCTAGTCTAATAATTAGCTCTCTGGTTACAAAGTTTTTAGGTGCCAATGGATGTAAGGTCACTTCGATATCCTTTTCAAATGCGGCTAAAAAGTATTCCGATGTACCATTCCTATTACCATAAATCGCGATAATGTTGAATATATATATTGTCCATTTGGCTCGAGATCTTTGATCTCAACGTCATAACGATAACCACTACCCGAAGGACGATCGACAATTAGAAGTTCTAATTTAGAACTAAACTTCTTAGCACATTGATTTAATTTCTTACCTGTTTTCGGTTGAGACTGGACATCGACATTGAGGACTCCATTATCACACATCATTGGTTGATGATCCAAGAATAGTGAATGGTGATTGCGCAGCATATTGTTGCATCTGTAAAGAAATGCAAAATTCTATATAAACGTATTCCAAGTCGACTAACGCGAAATTATCAAACAACATTATCACCTCAGTTGAAGTAGTTCGTCAACATCTTAATCTTCACATCAACTATCGTCCATATGATGTTATTTATGTTGCAATGGTAACCAGGTTAGATTTGCTTCTGTTGGAGATACTGCTCTTAAACACTTGAAAACATGGATTTTCACCAATCGATTCTGCTTTTCTCAAAATTTTTCCACCACAAACCAATACTAGAATTGGAAAATTTTGTCAAAAATTATCTGATTACAGAATTTTATCCCTACTCAAATACCATTGGATATGGAAATAGGACTCAAACCAGTAAACAACCAACATCTTTCACATTAAATGGTTTTCAAAATCAAAAAAATTATTCAAGATGTGTTCACTAGAATTTGACAAAAAGTTTGCGTTATTTTTGTCGTGCTTTCTGATTGTTTATAATTAATTAAATTATAACAAATGATAGTTTAGCTTTTCATCTAAATACATGAAAAATTTCAAAAAAATTTGATGAAAGGTTTTCGAACAATTAAATTATTTTTAAAAAATTTGATGAAAGGTTTTCGAACAATTAAATTATTTTTAAAATTTGATGAAAGTATTTTGAACAATTAAATTATTTTTAAAAAATTTTTTGTGTGTTCTCTATGTAAATCTCTATGAGAAATTAACATGGTGAGTAAGAAGTGGGAGCCGGCAATTGATCAACAATTAAGTGCAAATTGAATCAAATGATTTGTCTAATTGGAATGATTATCAGCCGGCAATTGATCAACAATTAGGTAGAAATTGATTGAAATGATTTGTCTAATTGGAATGATTATCAGCCGGCAATTGATCAACAATTAGGTAGAAATTGATTGAAATGATTTGTATAATTGGACTGATTATCAGCCGGCAATTGATCAACAATTAGGTAGAAATTGATTGAAATGATTTGTACAATCGGACTGATCCAGTGTACAGCTACTCAACTTAAGTAGTTATAATATTTTAAATTCAATGGATATTTTAACTGTTACTCAAAAAGTGCAGCAATTGGATTCTCATCTCCAGGAAAAGATTATTATGGGATATTTGTATTACTTTAAATTTGACAATTTAACATTAATTAGGATAAGAATAACTAATTGTTATGTTCATCCATATATGATCCGATGGATATAAAAACCCAAGAAAAGGAAAAAAGAGGAATTAATGAGAAAGTTGTTTAACTTTGAATCACAACAATTATTCAATAAAATTGAGTAGCCATTGATTTTACTGAGTGTACCTTGAATTAAGGGTAAAGTGACTGTGTGAATTGTTAATAAATAAATTTAAAATGGGTAATTCTAAATTGTACAAAAAAAATATCTTCACTATTGTTCCAGTGATTCTTAAAAACTTTGTTTTAGTTTGTGATTTAAATTTTAAATGTTCAATATTAAGAAAATCAAGTTTGAACATCAAAAGGTTTTATGCCCTTGGAGAGCCCATCGTTATTGACCAGGATCTTCTTATTTTTTTAACTACTGGTAAGTAATATCTTTAATTTCGCTCGTTACTCTGAAATTTAATAAAGTATTCTTTTTCTTTAGTCAATAGAAAGCAGGATATTATATATTATGCGGAAACTTCAGATCTACCTGAAAAAACAAAAAATTTCTTTCGTTACCGAATGAACTATTTTCAAGAATCGCCGTCTCACCAACCGATAGAACCTTATCCATTGGAACCAGAATCAGAATCTGAACCTGAAACTGAACCTGAGCCGGCGTTATTGCAGATACGAATGGAACTCGAATCAGAACACAATCTAATATACAAAGGCACGCAATATTCAATCGTAGAAATCTCAACCTCAAAGATTGTGAGCGACTCATATTCGAAAAATTTCCTGGAAAAGTTCTATAGCCGGCAACCAGGAGAAAATAGCTACAAATGTTTGTTTCACCAAAATTGTCCTCATGCCTTGAAGAAAAAGTGTCATGTGGAAGATCATCTTTTTTCTAACTTTTTCATTTGGAATGTGCTTGTGGGGATATAATAAATAGTCATCGAAATATTCGACGACACATAAATAGAAAAAAACACTTTTAATTCATTAAAGTTTTGTATCAATTTCTGACTAATTGTTGATCAATTACTGGCTGATAATTTGAGCAATTGTACAAATCATTTGATTCAGTTTCTTTTGAATTCTTGATCAATTTCCGGCTGATAATTTGAGCAATTGTACAAATCATTTGATTCAGTTTCTTTTGAACTCTTGATCAATTGCCGGCTGATAATTTGAGCAATTGTAAAAATCATTTGATTCAGTTTCTTTTGAATTCTTAAACAATTGTTGGCTGATAATTTGAGCAATTGTACAAATCATTTGAATCAATTTCTACTTAAATGTTGATCAATTGCCGGCTGATAATCTTATGTTGCAAAGCTGGTAACCAGGTTAGATTTGCTTCTGTTGGAGATACTGCTCTTAAACACTTGAAAACCCATGGATTTTCACCAATCGATTCTGCTTTTCTCAAAGAATTTTTCACCATAAACCAATACGCGATACTACTCATTAGGTTTAACATTTTAAAGATATGATCAAACATCTAATGAGAATCTAAATCATACAAAGTGCCTGAAAAACATCACACATACTCACCTACTAATCTGTTAACAGTTTAACTTTCTCATCTATTTAAATTCACCTCAATTCATTTCTTATCTGTTTGGAGCCTGATAATAAGATGGAAGCTTAATCATCAACAAATCCACTAAGTTGATGAAGTTTTAGTAAAAACAATTGACTTATTAAAATCACAATTAATCAGAACGTTTCAATCTGTTCAATAAGAAAGTTTAAATTGCCATTGCAATCAAACCTCAAGGATGAAAATTATTGTATCCATATGTTATCGAAACTATTAAAAAACTTGGGTTAACTTAATTTCACTAAGAATAATATTAACAAACTAAATCATTATGAGCTTGATTATTGATTAATGTAAAGAAACGAAAATTTTGAAAGTTTATCGAATTGAAATGAGATATAATCTTTTTTATTGTGTTTTATTAATAATTATGTCACCAATTAACTTGTCATCTGGTTGCGGTAAGATATTCATTAAGAAGTAAACAATTTTTTATTAATGTAAATTTTCATCCTCAAGAATGTGGCCTCGAAGGTTCAATCAGCCGAATCTACAGAGGTCAAAAGACTCGACCCCATAAATATCCTTGGTTAACCAAAATTCAGTAAGATGAAATAAAGAATTTGTTTTTTTCGTAGCTAATTTGTTGCTCAGTTTATATTCAGATATTAGTAGTGATTACAATGGTTTTTGTGGTGGTTCTTTGATTGATGATCAGCACGTCATCACTGCAGCTCATTGTGTAACCATCTACCAAAAGGAAACGCTCAATAATCCTAATAACATCTATGTTTACCTTGGTTTATCTAAAACTGACACTTTTAACTCGATACCAAAATTAGTTTCAAAAATTTGGGTTCATCCTAAATATAAACAGTCAAGTCTTTTGAACGATATCGCCATCTTAACCCTCTCAAGACCAGTTAAATTTACTCAGCAAATTTTCCCGATATGTTTACCGAACTGTAAAATAGATTTGGACCATCTCGTTACTTCAGGGTGGGGATTAACTTCGCCAAATGGTACACGAAGTGAATTTCTACAGGAAGTTGATGTTTCATATTTGAACAGTAAGTTCCAAATAGCTCATCTTAAGGCCATTTCATTCAATTCTCTCTCTCTCTCTCTCTCTCTCTCTCTCTATTTTCATTTTTTAATCGGTTCAGTCGAAGAGTGTCAAAGACGACAGGGTGAATTCTTTCCGAATGATTCGGTAATAAGAGAGACAACAGACTATTACGAAATTTGGGAAACTCATATTTGTGCCATCAATCTGAGAACCCAGGGAGGTGCTTGTTCAGGTGATTCTGGTGGTCCTTTGATGCATAAGGCCAAAGGCTTATACTATCTTGTTGGGCTTGTTTCTGGTTCATGGGAACCATGTGGTCCAAGTGTAACTTCCGCTGGTCTTTACACGCGAATTGATCTCTATCGAGATATCATCAAGAGTATCGCTCAAAATTCATGTTGGAAAGATTAAATAGATAGATATCATTAAATCTTAGTTGATTGTTAACCAAACATCAAATGATCAAAATCTGATGCTCTATTATTTGTCGTCTCATTGGAAAGGAAAAGTGAGAGACTTGTCAATCTGTTTAACTAACAAACTATTTCATTTGTTGCCAGATAAACGAGAATTCAAATAGCCTAAATAATAAATTGTACCATCGTCACGATTAGTTGGTTGATGAAGTTTTCGGCTTTTGGTATTTGATTGGATTCGATTTGATCTTTTTATTTGTTTGACTGGACTCAGCAAGTTAGAAACTTTACCTAGATGACCAAATATTGAGAATCCAAACCATAAGCCAAGAATACTTCCCACAAATATAATATATTCACTCACTGAAAGTGCGGCAAATGAACGTAAATATGTAACTGGCTCTGTGGGAACTTCGAGGAAAATTGTTCCCCAAGAACCGTATACATTTCCAGGATAAGATTTGGTGCTAATAGAGTAGGTCACTCGCTTACACTGAGCAGTAACAAGTTTAGAGGCACATTGAAATGCTGCAAATTGAAGTAACTTGTTAGAATCATCCGATCCAGTGAAATTAAAACTCATTGGAAATTCATTCCATTCAATCAGTGAATCTTTCGATATGAAAGGATCAGCATCTTTGCTTGTATAATCATTGATACATTGAGATAAGTTTCTTTCAACATCATGATTAGTACATGAGCCATAAGGATGACCAAGTAAATTTACAATCGTCTTGGAGTATGTTAATATTTGAATATTTGTATTAGTGATTATCGTATATCTATTGAATCGTACCTCAGGCAGTCTATCTGGATCACTGAAACGAATTCCAAAAGCAAAGCTAAAGGTGTGTAAGATTTCAAGTAAATTGTCTGTTATGATCAAAGAATCTGATTGAACTTTGAACAGTTCATCATGATTTCGACATGAGAGACGAACATAGATAGCGTAACAACTAAAATAACGGGATAAAGTACAATTTCCATTGTCCAGAATATCGATGTTCTTGTAAAATACTGCGATAATTTCATCTCTTGGATCAACAGTTAACTCTTGAATATCGGCTATTTTAATGAAGCCACATAGCCAAGTTGATGAAGAAAATGATGATTCGAATAGTTGGAAACAGTTTTCACTAATATTCGTTATTACTAATTTATCAGAACAGAAAATTTCAAACCTATCTGCTATTGTTTCCCCATAACGATAGTAAAGTTCAGTAAAATTTATAACTGATATCATGGGAATCGCGAAATCAATATCGGGAATCTCAACAGAATTTGGAAATTCAAAAGTCACATCGTTTCGAACTTTAAATCTTAATAGCTCGTCCGTTATTTCGTACAACTGAGTAACACAACCAATTATACAAATTAAATGGAAAATTAATTTCAACAAATTGACTTTCATGATTGTAAACAAGTTCGCTAATGTCAAATACTAAGAGCTTACAATAGTATTTATTACAATGTGAATTAATCTTTATTAATTATGAATATATTTCGACATTTTAACTAATTAATAGTTAGATGAGATGAGATGATCTTTTTGATCAATATTCGATAAAATTTATGAGAAATTATATCGATTAAATTGTTTCGATTTAGAATAATTCTCATTGAAACGAAAGACAGAATGTAAAAAGTTGAGATTTTCTGAATGTTTGGTGAGATTTTCATTCAATCATGGGTTCAATTGATTTCTTAATGAGACTTTCAATAGTATTTACTACTGGTAATACTAAAAGAAAGAGACTCTTCATTCATTGATCGACATTTGAAACCGATTGAGAATCAATTAATTCTTATTGATGGAACAAACTTTCAAGAGAAAAAAAAAGTTCTCATTTAATGAAGACAAATCGAATTAAATATTGAACAGAACAATGTTTTTATTCAATTTGACCAGAAATTCGTGGTGTGTCCAAAAAAAAGGTACATTTCCAACGATTAGAACTTTTTTTCAGCTCAATGTACATGTTATAAGAAATTCGAGATCAGGAAGCGAGAGGACAAAGTTTTTCATCGTAAAAAAATGTTACATTATGAATGAAAAACAGAAGTTAAATTGGTTAATTACAAATTTGATTGATGATTATGATACAATAGTAAAATTAAAACAATCACAGTTACTTTTTCATGTAATCACCTGAGTGAGAAACTTGATTTTATCCTCAGAATCATTTATATACACACACATTCAAATATTCATTGCAGGTTTAAATGAATTATATTGAATTCTGATCGGTATAAAATCAAAATTGATTTTCTTCAATCAATTGTATTTTTCTGTTGATCATAATTGGCAAATTTGGTTTACATTGAAACCGAAAACAGCAATTAAATTTGATCATTTTAAATACACAAAGGTTACAGAGGCAGTCAAAGAGATGGATATTATTTTTTACAATTAAGAGTCAATGGTGAAAATTATTAGGCAGATAGTTGATTAAATTGCAGCGAATATAAAATATATATTAAAATTTGGATGATTAATTTTCCTTAAACAATTAAGTTAATAATCGTTTAATTGTCTTTCCATCAATTGCGGATCCAGTATAAGCTCATGGTTGTTCTTGGTGATTAGTTTGATTTAATTGTTTGGAGTTTTCATTGGAAAATTGATTTTGTTACCCTGAAAGAAGCGGAGGAATTAAAGTTGATTAGAAAGGTGAAAAAATCGCAAAAAAAAGTTCGATGATTTATTCATTCTTACCTGGATTCTCCGAAATAATTTCAATACTCAATATCGAGGTGGAAGGTTAAATGGTCATCGTTTCCGTTTCCGTTTTTCTAATTGAATGTTTGTTAAACTCGTCGCATATAATTGGAAGCCGGATGACCGAAATAAGTATAATCAAGATTAACCTTTGACGAGTAACGAATGGCCGGTAGATTATCAATCGATTCGTAAATATGATCAGCGTTTGTCCGATTAAGAGTTCGTGTTGAACAACTTGTCCCAGCGATCATGGTTGTGGCCGTTGAGAGGGATGTTGGTGGACGAGCAGAGTAAATTGGAGCAGGTATTGTTGTCGATAGTGAATGTGGACCAATGGCTGGACCAAGTGTACGAGGTTTCAGGTCAACAGATTCTTTGCTAATGTTTGATGATTTATTTCGTATAAAAGTTAATAAGGCGAGGCTAAAAATGACCACAATTATACCGGCGATTGATGTTAAACCGATAAACATAAAGGGTGTTTCATATGACGTGTTACCGTCATAGCGTAAATATCCAATCTGTTTACGAATATTGTTTCCAATTGTAACTACAACCGCGGGTAAATTGGTCTGCGTTGAACGACCAAACAGATCGGTATAAGAGCTTATTGTAAAACCTTCGGTTGGCGGTGAGCAGACCAATTGATTCATGGTGAGAGAGGTTAGATTACATGGACGATTACCAACGGTGACATTTACATCTGATTCGATTGCGGCCAATCTTAAATTGTCACCATCGATCACTAAAGATTCACCGGTGTACAATTTAACTCCATCATTTTCAAATGATCTAAAAATTGGATCAGGTAGATAATAGAGAGATGAATCTATGGACGGAAAATGATCTCGAATATTGGTCACACTTTCAACTGAATCCATTTCGAAAGATATTTCAAAAGGTGAGAGATATGAAGAAGAGGAAGATGATGAAGTTGACAGGGATGATGGATGAAGATTGTGAAGATGTGGACGAGCATGTAAATGGTCAGATCGAGGTAGATCTCGGTGGACTGGTGAAGAAGACGGTGAAACGGGGAATCTTGACCAATGTCAGAGGACGAACCAGAGGACGATGACCCACCACCATGAGAGACAGAGAAAGATTCAAGATATGCTTTAATTGATGGAGTTGGACATTTGATGAGTGTATCATTGACCGGAATACAATTAGACCTTCCAATAATCTTTGATAAATGTTTAACTATCAATCGAGGTTGAACAATATACGAAAAATGATAACCATTGACCCAAATCAATCGACCACCCGAAATGTAGCTCTTGTTTGGACCAATTGAATGGATAATCGGATCTTTACCATAAATATAAGGCCGAGGTAAAGTGATATTCGAGCCATCAAGTAAAAGGGTCAACCTTTGAACCTTGTAAGGGGCAGTCGGTGAAGCTGAGGTTCTACAAGTGACCTGACGATTGGCAATCATTGACCTGATAGAAGAACAAAAAAAAAGAATAATAGAAAAGATTAAATGAGAATGTAAACAATCAATTTTTCTCTCATGTAATCAATCAATCGGTAAATCAGCTGATCAATTAATTCAATTCGATAACATTTCCATTTACAGTTATATAATTGGAACAAATTAACGAGAACTTTTTTCTTTCTGCTTTACTTATTCCCTCTACTAATTAATTGATCCATCGCAATTAAGTAAAATAATTAGAATGTATCATATACTTTAATCAATTGCAAGTTGGAAATTGGATACAAATTTATTTAGGCTAATTAAACCTAATCAACGAATCAATTAACAGAAACAATTAATAGATTTCATTGATTTTCCCCTTTCAATGTTCATTTACTAATCACATTTAGAGTTAACAATCAAAATCGATTTCTCTTTTTCGAAGACGAGAAGGAAAAAAAAGTCGAAATCGAGAGAAGAGAAAATCTAATAACAATTAAATATGTGATTTCGAATTGAAATTAATCAGTTAATCAGACAAATCACTTACTTTTTAATCTCACAAGGAATATTGTCAAGGTAAATCTCAATATTCGTTCCAATGTTGAAATTAAATCCATCCAGGTAAAGGTGAGTTCCACCGGATTGAGGTCCATACTTTGGATTAACATCAATTAATTGGACAGCCTAAAGATTAACCAAATTAAGAAGAAGAAAAAAAGTTAGATCAATCATCTTCAAGATTAATGTATTAATACTTTGATTAAACAAGAGTAGAAACTCAATTTAACTGATTAATCAAAAAGGAAAGGATTTAATTGACAACAACAAAATGGTAAACACAATCAACATGTTACCAAATCAGTTAACCGTTAATATCCTCAAATCTGGATAATAATAACAATCAAATGTTTACAAAGATCTTTCATCAAATCCTAACAAAGGATTAGAAGAGGAAAAATTTGAATATATAAACAATTCCTGTTCTCCCGCCGTAAATCAGTTATCATCTTCATCTTCATCTTCATCAGTAATTATTGTTTAAAAGTTAACCAATTTAACTCATTAACAATGGGTGATTACCCTTGTTCTCTTCACCATTTAATCATATTATTAATCACAATCTTATATTCTAATTTGATATAAATTCTATTCTCTTCGATTCCATAGTATCATGAGCCTTTTGTAGTTACATAATAGCAAATGGAAAATCAAATTAAAACTTTTCCAAAGTAAGTATTGTGATGATAACTTAAATCTTTTCGATATAATAATCATAATCTATTATTCACACTTGATAATCTAATGTGGTGTATGTGTGTTGTTCCCATTTTGTGCCTACTCTTTACATCCTTATCATCATTTTCAATCTTTTCGCCTCCATCATTTCCTCCTCCTCTTCTTCCTCATCCTCATCATTATCCTCTTTTTATCATCTTAATCATCATCATCATCATCAGTTCCATTCATAATACTCTTCACGTACATTTCTATTTCCTAATATCAAACATTTCTGTTTATTTTGAGTCGACAGTTTTTCCGCTTCCATTTCAAATCTCCAATCGGATTATAACTCTCATCACTTTCACCATGTTCACCTTTTATCCATCATCATCATCATCATCATCATCATTTCCATGATACTATTATGTATCTTAAAGTTTAAATCTTTTACAATAACGAAAACAATGGCCACATGCACATTAGTCAAAAAGAAAAGATTAGAAAAGTTTAAAGTGAAAACGAGCTTCGAATACCCTAAAGCTTAATAAATACAAAGGAATCAGATCAAAGCTCATTTACTTGTTAAGTAATAATATTAATCATATGTTGTTTAGATAAATTGTAATTCTCAGTATTGATCTTTATCCCTTCCTCACCTTCAACCTTTCATTTCTCTTTGAAACTTTTCTTTTACACTAATCCATCCATTGATTTTGACGAGCACAAGCAAAGAGGATGAAGAATATAATTGAGGATGAACATGGTGAAAGATGGAACAAATTAAAGGTATTTAACCCTTTTTCTAGTTGATTATATTCCTTAACCAGATTTTTGAGCTTCGTAAATACAACAATCTATGATTAGTCAAATGGAAGGTAAAATTGTTAAGACCAATGACAATTTCTGTTTAATCACTTGGATTAAATGTAGAATAGTTTTCCTTGATTAACTAACGTTCCCTCAAGATTTTTATCCTACTCTTGGATATTCACATTTTCTTTATCCTTCAATTTACCTTGTTTACCTTTTTTCCTTCCTAATATTGCTTAATTCTCTCTCTCTCTCTCTCTCTCTCTCTCTCTCTCTCTCTCTCTCTCTCTCTCTCATTCTATTCATCTTTTTCATTCTCAAGTTTCCCAAATTAACACCATCGGTTTGGCATGTTAATCTTATCCAATTTTCTTCTCATTTCAGGTTGATTGAGTTTTTGCGTTTCATGGGAACATCATGATAATAATGAAAATACACAAAAAGAGTAAAAGATGAAAATGAAAAAGTAGGAGAAGAAGAAGAAGAAGAAGAAAGTAAAAACCAAAAAGAAAGAGAATATTTAAAAGGATCACGAAAAATCTACTGATTAACAACAGAATTTAACAAATAACATGTAACCAGCTGATATTAGAATGAAAGTTACTTGTTAATAGAATCAAGTAATGAGCATGTACCATGTAAGTTCTGATTTTTCTTTGTTCACAGAAAAAGGAATAATATTCACTAGTGAATATCGGAATACCTTTGCTACTCCCATAATCATCATCATCATCTCTCTTTCTCTCTCTCACTTCCCTTCTCATCTTTATCCTCCTTCTCCTTCTGTGTATTACATTTCTGCAGGTTAAAGAAAGAGGAGGAAGATGAAAGAAAATGAAATAATAGGAAGAAAAAGAAGAAGAGAGAAAATCTTTCATCTTGATTAACAAAATGGATTAACCAACATAATGCAAGTCAATTAGCAATTAATCTGATTAGTTGACCTTAAACATGATTCATAGATAATTGTGTTCCTGAGATCATGTTTCTCGCTTAACTTTCGATGGATTTACCTGTATTATCACATCACGTGTAAATTTTATCGAAAAACTTTTCTCTCTCTCTCTCTCTCTCTCTCTCTAATATAATGGTTACCCTGTGGATCGATCAAATATCGACTTATATACAATATAAAAGGAAAACAAGGACAAAGTTCACATCAAAATTATCTCCATAGAAATACATTAGTAAGAAGAAGTGAAATCTAAACTGACCATTAGAGTTCAACGGTCAACTTACAATCGATATAATTATCTTATCAACATTCAATGTTAATGTTATCATCTAATTGAAAGTTCGTTTCCTTAACTTTTTTTTTCATTCCAATTCTGATAATACATGTTCAGTATATAAAAGTAAACACAATTGAAAAAAAAATCAGGGGAGCATCAAGAATAAAGATAATATAATGTTCATTTAATGATAATGAAAAACCTGATTAGTGTTGAATTGTATTAGAAATTCAAGTTGATTGTAATCAACTTGAATAGTGTGATGGTCATCATGATAATGGAGTAAAATTTTTCCCAATTCAACTATAATTTGGTATTAAATTGATTTCTGGTTGACCTTATATACTCTGAACTTGAGTATAAAGATTATATAGCCAACCCATTAGAAAGTAAGTTGATCGCCACTCTGGAAATCCACCTCATCCTCATCTTCATCCTCATCATCACTAACATCATCTTAACCATAATCATTTTCAAATTCAATTCTCATTCAAATTAAATTTCCTTTCTTCTTGTTGGAAATTTCTTCCTTTCTCTCTAATCAACTTTCACCAAATTAACCTTCATCATCCTCATGATTCACATGTTCATCCTCCCATCATCATCATCATCATCATCATCATCATACAATCCAATTTAATACAGTTAACCATCAATATCATCATCACCATCATCATCATCATGGATACCTACTAATTTCATCTTAACAAACCAACCCAATCAATGTCTATACACAAAATATCATAGATTTGATTCTCTCCCATTGATTCAATCATTCTCATCCTAATCATAGTCTCGAATATATAATTATTATAACTTCGTCTCTCTCTCTCTCTCTCTCTCTCTCTCTCTCTCTCTAACAATTTGATTGTTAACAGTTAACTTTTAAAACCACAATTACCTAATCACCATCGTCTCTTTTTCCCAACTGATACAATATATTCATCATGATAATAATATTAATATTTTAAGGGTTTGGTTTAAATGAATCAAGATGAAGAAAAAAAAATAGATTACAAACAATTACATCATCATTATCGTCATTTTCATTCAACTAATCACAATTTAATCTTTTCTTATTATTATTCCCAAATTGATCCAATAATACACAATAATAACAATAGACATCAATATATATTTACCATGTTTACCATGGGAAATACACTTCATGTTGTATTACAAGTAATATCAATGTGAGGAGAAATCTAATTCTTACCATGATTTAATTCTGATAACAGGAAAAAAAACTAAATAGAAAAAAACAAAACCTGATAGTTAATATATAATAACGATAATTGATAAAAATGAGTTTCCTTTTCCTCGGTTGATTGGTCAGTTTTACCAGAAAATAATAACTGACCAGTAAAAGTTTTGTTTTATTTTGGTTTTTTTTTTCATTTATACTTTTTGTTTAGTATCTTGGTAATAATAATAATTATCGTTACTATTATTTACTATCAACAATTACCGATAACAACAATCAATGATAATTTAACCAGAATCCAAATTCTGGTATCTCATTGAAATTGGGTTCATCTCTTGAGATTATCATGAATCAAAAGTGAATCGATTCTGTGTTTTTATCATAATAAGTTAATCTCACTTGATTATAACTCTGTTAATACAATAGATGATAAATTAATCAAGACAATTAAACCATGTGATCGTTGATTGTTTTACTTATTTAGTGATAAGTAAGTTTTTGTTAATCATCTCAAAATAATCAGTTTCCTTTTTTTTCTCGATTAAATTAAAATCAATCAAAATGTCAAGTAGATGGATATTTAATTATCTAATCTACCTAATTAACTCATCTAATTATAATCATGATCCGTTTACTAATATAATGATTAAATCTAAAAGGTCATTCAACTGATTTATTATTTTGTATATTATCAAAACAAATTGTAATCTCTTCCTGAATCAATCATTTAAATCATGGGTGTAAACAAGAGACAGATAATTTAATATTAATCGCATGAATCTTGATTGTTGATAATAACAATCAAGATTATCTTCATCATGATAATCACAATCTTCAAAACTGTCAATGAATTTTTTTTGCATCTTTCATTCATTTTCCCCTTTGTTAAATTAAATTACGTTCAACTTTGAGCCTTTTAAAGCTCATAATTATCATCATGATAATTATTATTATTAATTACTCTCAATGAAGAGAGGAGAGAGAGAGAGAGAGAGAGAGAGAGAGAGAGAGAGAGAGAGAGATTTGACTCTTCATTATCATGAATAGTGGACACAATAGTGGACACAACGATCCCTTTTAATATCGGGAATATGTTTATCTTCAATTTGAATGAGATTAACATATTGTTAGGTTGATGATGCGGAAGATAATTCTCATCATGATGATGATGATCACCATCATGATATCATCATCATCCCTCTTTATATCCACTAAAATTAATAGTTTTAACTCAAATACACTTTCCTGATGATCATTATCATCCTCATCATCATTATCATCACCACATATTATTAATATTATTTATACATATGTGTACTATTCAAATAGGCAAACCATTAGCAGTGTTTAATTTTCATCATCATGAAAACTATTTAATTAGTTTTCATTATTTTCTTTTTTCCACCAAATTTGTGCCTCTTGATGAGACCTAATTAGATGAGAGAGTGAGAGAGAGAGAGAGAGAGAGAGAGAAGCGGATAAATGAAATATCATCCTCATCTTCATAACATCATCAACAAGGGTTTTTACTTTACCAGCAAAGAAAATTTATCTTTAGTTTTTTTCTTCTTCTTCTTCATCTAATACAATCTAAATATAGTTAATGATGAAGATGCTCCTTCTCATTTATCCCTATGGAAAATAATCACCATCATAACTTTTGACCATCTCACATCATGTAAAAGTTTTTTTTCTCTCCCCAAAGGTTATCCTTTTGTTTAAATTTCATAACATAATGTTCAACGGTTAATTTATATATTGTTCACTATCATGGTGGTTAATACACATTCACCCTGATGGTATGATTTAAGTTAATTGTTGTTTACCATTTTAATGAATGAATAACCTCTTACCTTGTAAACAAAGTTTTCACTTGCTCGAGTTACTCCTGCTCGATTGCCTACAACAATATTTGCTGAATAAGGTCCAGTTGGAGAGGGTCCAGTACGACAGACAACCCTGTATATATATACAGGAGATTTTTTGATAGTAAGATGAAATGAAAAGAATAACAATTAATATAAATTGTTTGCCAATTGATTATCCAGAACTTTTTTATCATTTCAACTTTTCTCCAATGGTCAATACTCACCTTACTGATACATTATATTCAACTGGAGTACATGGTATACCTCCGATGGCGACTTTGTCTTTAATCTCATCTACACTTGATCCTAAATTGGAACCTTTAATTGTGATTAAAGTTCCACCCTCAATTGGACCAGAAAGAGGATAAATCTATTATCAATGGAAGAGCAAGAAAAAACCGTAAATTAGATGGTTAAATTAACGTTAATCAGCTCAATTAATATTATCATGAAAGATTTTTTCTTTTGCTTCTTGAATTTGAACACAATCAAGAAGGACAATCAAGTCCAAAATAATGATAATAAACTCAACCTGGAGCCAGAATAATATCAAATTCAATCCCAATTGTAATTCACCTTGAAGCTAAATTAAACCTACAGACTGTTAGGTTAAAGATACTTTCAATTTGTTTTTTGTTCCTCTTCTCCCCTGAACAATACAATCTCATTGATTGTGAATTAAATCAAGCGATTTACAGACAATCAACCAACCAACCAACCACTCACTCACTTACTCATTCATCATCCACCCCACCCAACATTTCATTCATAGTAAACCCTCAATCTACAACATACTGTTCAAAGATTGTATTGGCTATTGATTCATTCAAATTTTATTTATTCTCAATTTATATTTGTATTATTATTTTGATTGTTAAATTGAAATCAAATCGTATACTCTGAATACAATCAATTAATCATCATCAGTAAATCCACTGGCACGAGTCATTTTTAATACTCAAAACCAGATCAATTTACAATCAACAGTCATCAAATCAAATGATTCAGAAATTGTAACAATGGTTAAGAAAATATAAAAAAGTTTTCTATTCTTTTACATTGTAACTGACAAAAAGAATGACAAAAAATAATATCATAAATAATGGACCAACATTATTACATCAACAATGAGCACACACATGAAATTTCATGGTGATGATAACATGGAGAAAATAATTTCTGTTTTAATAAGAATAATAAAAATGTTATTATCTTATCATTTTTATCCCTTCAAAATTATATAATAATATCCATCTGATTCTGAGGCGATTCGGTGAGAGATTCAGGATTAAATCTCTAATCTTGGAAACATTAACATCAAATGAATGAACTTTTTTTTTCTTATGCTTTTGTCATTTTTTTCTGTTGTTGTTGTTGTCATGATGATAATGTTATTAAATCATCATTATCATCATCGTCATCTTATAATCTAATGATAATAAAAGATAAACAAGAAAACCGTTGGGTGTTCATGACAATGGGTGGGTAATTGGTGTCCAGAGATTTTCAGAATTTTTTTTTTCAATTTCGATCTTCTTTTCATCTCTTTTTTACATATTGATTCAAACAAAAGAAAACTGAAATTGAAAGAGAAAGAGAAAATGGAAAACTCGAAAATTCAATGAAAAGGTGACCCTTGTCATCAGCATCATCATGAAGATACTGAAATCTCATGATAAGATATCAATAACAATATTCTGATGACAGAAAGTGGGAGTGGGAAAAGTTTTCTCTCTGTAAGATTATGGATGCGGTTCAAATTTAATAAACCAAAAGATTATAAAATAACCACAATTTTAAGATGATTCTTAGGAGGAGATATTGAAACTCGGTGGTTCATTCAAGATATTAATCATGAGAAGGAGGATAAACATCAGAGAAAGATAATTTTATTGGATTAATTTCAAACTAAGAACTTTGGAAGTGAACATTTAAGATCAGAACTCAATTCAGGTTTTACATTTCAAATTTTGGAATCAATTTCAAACTCATCATTTGCTATTAACGATATGATATTAATATGGGAAAAAAGCTCTGAATTTAGATTATTATCATAAGCATCATGAAAATTTTTTTCTATTCTATTTCTTTCTCAAACTTTACTCAACCTCTTCAGGAACAATCGTGGAAAATTCTGACAATTGAAATTGTTTATATTGTTTGAACCTTACGAATCTCATCTGTCATTTACAGTTAAAGTTGTTCTTCATTTTTCAATCATCATCTTAGTTTTCCAGCGAAAAATATTCAAGTTAGAATATCAAATTCTCTATCATGTATCATGGAAAAGTTGCTTTTACTCATCTGATAAAAATTCTGGTAAAATGCTCATTTTCCTGTCATTTATCAATTGAAATAGATTATACTGATTCTTTGTATCATCTCCATGAGTCACTTATCTATTTCTAAAGGGTTGAAAGTGAAAAGAAAATCTGAAACTTGAAATTCGAAATGAACTCATTTGATTATTGTACTAGTTCAATTAACGAAACTCAAGAGAAGCCGATAGAAGTTCATTCTGATTCAATTAAGATGGAAACTTCTCAGTGGAATCTCAGTAATATACAAGAATCGAATCAAATGTTTTACTATAATTCCAACCAATTCAAGATAATCGGCATCATGAAAATCCTTTTTTTCTTTATTTCAACTTGTTCATATTCTTAATCCTTTTCAGTTGATCCTTATTCTTTAACCTCTTTCTAATAATCATTATCCTCATTGTCGACCATTATTATCTCTGCATTCTAATATTTATCTTCATTATCATCATCTTTTCATCTTTATCTCTTCTTGATCTCTATCTTTATTGTTCTTAACATTTCAACTTCGCTATTTCGTCTTGGATTCAGTTTCAGAACTTTTTTCTCTTCTCACCATTGATTCATCTTAACTTCTTAACTTTTATTTCATCATCTTTATCGTTTCATTTCCTTCAACTCAATCATAAAAACGTTAATCCTCTTCCTCTTCTTTATGAATGAGGAAACATAAAGTCAACAATCTTAATCCGTAAACTACCTTAAATCACAAATGGATTAGTTGAAGAAAATTTTCTCGATTTTCTTTTCGATTTTTTTTCCACTAGAATTTAATTCTTTTACTTTCAATTCTCACTCATTCTATTCATGCTCATGAAAAATGGAATTTTTCGCTCTACCATTTATACAACTGAAAGCTGAAGTTCCAGATAAACATGATGATAATTTTTTCTCTTTCCAATCGAAAAGTTCAGTCATGTTGTTGATCTGAACTTGGCTACTCAGAGAATAGATTAAGCGAGAAAATGAAGAAAAAAAATGTTCGAACAGGAAAATGAAACTTAAGACCTGAAGAAGAAGAAGAAGAAGAAAAAAAAAAGTTCCAATGATAAAAACATTAGCGCAGGGAATGAAACCATTGAGCGATTTTTTCTCCATTTCCAATTCCAGAGTCACCATGATAACTCATGTTATTGAGTTTTTTTTTTCAGCAACTTCCCTTTTATGGTTGATAACTTTTTCCCTGTCAACAATCAATCATGATACTTAATTGTTTCCATTACAATCTGATCAAATTGTGAATCAAATTTTTCACCCAAACAAAAAATTATCAACAACTTTTTTCCTTCTCCACTTCATTTATATTGTAAACTAATCAAATCTAATGTTGAAATAGTTCATCAGGTATTTATTTTCACCATCAATTTAATCATAATCCACAACAATAGATGAAAACGTGATCATCGTTATGTGATTAATTGTCACTCAATTGTAATCATTTGAACCCTCCATTCACCCTGTCTGATCATCATGAACAAGAGATCAACAGGATAATCGTCTTGGTGAGAGGAAAACACCAGAAAATTCAGTCTCTATGAATCAATTCCAGATAAACATCATCATCATAAAGCTAACTCGTTATCAGAAATTATCGGATATTAAGATAATCCATTTCCAGGATAATGTTGAAATCAAATTTGATCAGTTGATTATTCAATTTGCTTTACTCTTAATCTTGATTATCAGTGTTGATAATTTTGATTACATTTGAACCAAAATAATGATGCAATTAAAATACAGGACAAATTTGATTATGCTAAATATCATATTCATCTTTATCTTCATCATCATAATCTAATTATCATCATTATGTATTGTTAATGAAGATAATTATTAATCTTCCATGATGATTTCATTTTCATCTTGCTCAAGGTGAGAATTGAAATTAACATTTAACATTCATGTAAATTGGAAAATTGTAAATTCAATTCTGTCAATTATGATAATTGAAAGATTTCAAATTTCCTATTACTTAATATTCAATATGTGAATTCTTATATTTTATCAACTGATAATACATAAGAAATATATGATAATTCATATTGATATGTAAAAGCAATTTGAATAATAATAAATTGCTGATAATCATTCATGATAAAATCAACATTATAATATAATTATTCAAATTACTTTGAACTTTTTTTTACCTTTGGGTGACCAGAACCTCTGAATTGTTCAGATTAAGAAATCAGAATTGTTTAGAAATTCAATTTCAATGGGAAACACTGAAAGAGAATATCTGTCTTTCTTATACAGAATTTAATAGATTGTATCATGTATTATGAACAATGTTAACATGAATAGCAGGATGATTCTGTAAGATTCTGAGTAGTTGTTACAATAGATAATCAAATGATAAAGGTGATGATAAGAGATGATGAGGGAAAACAAAGATAATTCTGAGGCTGATAATTGAATTTAATTAACTCACAATTTTGGTTGATTGTCATTCAAGAGGAAATTATGTCCACTCAACTGTGAGTTCTCATCTTTCATCATTTTCTCATCAAAACGATAACTTTGAGTGACAAAAATGTTGACGATCATCATCATCATGGCTCAATAAATTTTCATTTACCGTTACAACGTAATCGTGTATAACTTTACCAACTATAATTCTCGTTCATTTCCATGATTATGAGACTAAAATTTCATTCTAATTATTGTTATTATCATTTTGGTGACATTGTTGATGGATAATTTCAGATTGTTCTGAATAAAAAAACTTTTCTCAATCAGAAATTGTTCATCATCATGTTCCTTCCTATTTCTTTATACCTTTTCTACAGCATCATCATGGTGAAAAAGATTCAATTTTCTTCAACAATTCCAATTCATGGTGAATTATGATTACATCTAAAGGAAGTGATTCAAGTTAATGATTTTCGTTTGATTTTTTTTATTACTTATCATGATACTCTTTTGATAATCATCAATTGACTATGTAATAGGATCTCATTATTACTATTCATCGATTTTACTTTTAATTGTATCATTCATTTCATCATTTTCTTTCCCTTGTCTAGAAATTTGTTCAAATTCAATGTTC